CTTTTTTAGCATTTAAAATAGGAACAAAGACAATGATCATACAGATGATGTAAATGTTCATATATACTCTATGGTTTTGGAAACCTATGTAAGATGGCAATATACAGTGTGCTGTGCATTTGGGAGGCTTGAGTTACACTAGGAGACACTTCATATTTGTGTAAGTGAAAGGTGAAACTATCAACTAAAAGTGAATCTAGAAGCTGAAGATGAACACTTGGAAAACTTTGCAGCAGTGATAATTGGACTAGATGATCTTAGAAGTCTTTTCCAACCTTAATGATTCTGATATGATTCAATGAAGATGTATACAAAAGTATTAAGAAACAGTCACTGGGGTGAAGAATGTTTCTTAAGACTAGAAAGGTAACTCACAATGGTCTCTCATGAGGATACCTAATTGTTTCTTGAGCTTGTAAAGACAGTTTGGCTTCCACTGATTTATGCTAACTAATTTCATATAACTCACAAAGCACCAACTCTGTAATCCGTGGTCTGCTATCAAGAAGGAAAGGAAAGTGGAGAAATGCTCCCAGTGCTGCCCACCCTCTCTCCAGCTTTAGCAATTTGTCACTACCAAGCTCTCTCTTCCCTCTGTTCATTTCCCTACCTTGAAGGGAAATGCGTGCTGCTCATCACTTGGTTTCTTGCAATAGCTCCTTACGGGGCTGTGGTGCCTCCAGCCTTACACTTTTGCACAAAATACAACCAATTGTTTTTTGTAAATGTACTTCATTCCTTCTTACTCAAATTCTTTATGTTTACTTGGCCTTTTAGTATCTCTAGATGGCAGAAAAATGGAACCATAGATGAACCACAAATCAATTCATGGTTGTTTTTAGATATCACAAAGAAAGGCCACCTCATCTATTCATTCCGATGATTCCGTAAGCTGTAGTTTTTCATGTCTTGCAGTTGTCTTTTCTTCCCATGCATACTTCTCTGATTTTTAGAGACAAATGCCACTTTCTAAAACCATACAAAAGAAAGCAGGACTAGCTGTTGTTCTCTCTGTTGTTTCATTTTTTCTCTAAATTGTTTCTCCACCTTCACATTTTTGTCTCCCTCAGGTAATCCCACAGGTAAGAGGTATGTTTACTACTGATCTTTTATGATTAAGACACTGAACTTTGGTCACTGAATGACTCCTATCTATAGGTTCAGACATCTGCCAGCCATGCACTATTCCCCAGGGGACCTCCCATAACCGAGGTGCCAACTGGTGCTTAGTCTAGACCTTAACCCTTAAGCATCAGCATCCCCCAGTGGTTCCATGCTTCACTGCAGCTCATTTGAGTATGTGTGTGTGTTTTTTTTTCCTAGGTACCCCAACATTCAGCAAACATGTAAATTCAAGAAAGGTGCCTCAGAACTAACCAGTACTTAGAGTTATCAGGTTCAAGTTCATTATTACACTGCATTTGAAGAATTAAAAATAGGTTGAGAGCCTCTTTGTAAAATATTAGGTTCTACAGCTACTTTTGGCTTTTTTTTTTTTTAATTACAAAATCATGACTCATGGAGAAGATACTATAGCAAACATTAATTTTTAATCTGCCTTCTGGTAGAAGTTCATAGACTTAGAAACTACTGTCCATCATATCTACTGAAATAGAATTCTAAATCAAAAATTCCTGACTGACATTTCATTCACACAGTGAAAATTCAACTATGTTCTTAAATATATCCTGAGCCCTGTTGTGACCTACCATATTTACAGGAGTCATTCTGGGAAGTACTCTGCAGTAACCATATCCTGTTCACAGCCCTTTGTAAAATAATCTGAATTTGTGCTGATTGGGACTGCCTTCCCTGTTTCCTGAAACACGTCAGTCACTGAAAAAAGGTCAGCCAAGGGAATACTGTAGAATGATGCTGGAAGGGATGGAGCATTGTAGAAGTGAGAAAAGCAGACAAATGATGCACACCTAATATGATGCTCGCATCTCCCCAGCTTCCTCCTGCCATGAATCAGAACAGCCACATCAGCACAAGCCCTGCATTGCTGCTGATTCAGCAGAGGGAGGATGGAGGGGGGGGGAGCATGCAGGGAAACAGAGGTGCATCAGAATCTCACCAGACCTGATGCCATAAGTGCCCAGAGAGGCAGCACAGCTTCATCTCATCTGCTCTGTTTTCTAAACAAAAAAGGCCCACAGTGTCACCTAGACACTTCCTCTGTCTCTGGTTCTCATACAACAACAGCTGAGGACATCTAGTACAGTTTTATAACAGATACATACTGCCACTGTTTCCAGTGCAAACACTGAGTACTTGATGCAAAGGGAAGAGAAAAGCAATAAAAACCCCAAGCTGAACACCAAGAACACAGTTGCCTTCTCTGCAATCGGAGGACCAAACACCAGGCTCCTTCCCCAGAGGTAAGAAAAGTGTGATGAGGGCATATCTCTGAATCAGAGCCTTCATGAGCAGCAGTCAGCCCAGAGCACGAATGTGCTGAGACATGACAAACCCATGCAACACCTCTTGCTGATACTCTGCTATTCTGTGTTTGGAGGATTTTTGAAAGGAAGTTTATTTTTACAAGCTGCTGAGTGCTGACTCTGATGTGGGGCAGCTTTCACTTACGCAAATGCCTCAGTTTTTGTTAAGGCTCTTAGACAGACAGCAATTACTGTGACATTTACAAGAAAAGCTGTGTAGATACACTTGGTTTAGGTTATTCAGTGAAAGTACATCGTGTAACAAATAATGGACAGTTACGTTTCAGCACAAGAAGAGGAGGCACTTTTTCATTTTGAGAGCAACCATCTCTCCCTTCCTTTGAAAGTTCTAAAAATATTTGAGAAGTCCTAAACAATGTTCCTTGGCAAATGTCATTGTCGCTACCTAAAACTCAGGGCTGGTATTCACTGTGACAAATCAGCTTTATGCAGTGCAGCCATCCATTTAGCCACCAGTTGCATGAAGTGATGATTCATAAAAGGTCAGCAACTAGCAAAATAAAAACATGCATTGCAATTCAGTGCATCACACAGCACTGAAAATTAATCCTGCTGCTAAAGAAATGGAAAATGCACAATAAACAGATTACCAGAAATTAAAATTGTTTTAGACCAATTCTCCTGAGCCTTTAAGGTTGTAACAATGATTTCCTATTTATATGGACTGCTAGAAATCTCAGGTGATTCCCTGTGGAGAGCACCATGAATATGTTTTCCAGAGCTGAGGAAAGAAAAATAGATAGCTATAATGGAAGTGCAGGAGCAGCCAAGCAGTAGATTGATTCAACAGGAAAAATTCAATGCATCCCAAAAGATTTCCTAGGATTTGCTCTCCTGCTGCTTAGGGTGCAATTTGTTGTAATGAGAAACTGAGGATTTTGTTTCAGGTGTGTCAGAGCTTATCGTGATGACTTTACGGTATATATATAAAAAAAATACAAGTGCAAATCACTCTTAAATAAGCTTCTGGATGAAGGGAGAATAAGGATGAGTTCTTTAAGTTGCATAAAAAGGTCAAGTACCTCATGCAAACTCCATTTCCTAAGAGATACTAATTGAACAAACAAAGTCAAACCTTTTCCTTCATATCCAATCTCCTGCATTAAACCGCTTGAAAACTACAGTATGATTCAGTAAGCAAAACAGAGAAAGCTTTATTACACAATCTGGTAAAATCGCTCTTGGTCTCCCTATAATCTTTGCTTGCTGTAAAAAAATCCTCAATGTTCAGTTGTGAAGAACCAAGTTAACGAGTTACAAAATAAAACCCAAGAGAGAGTACTGAAAACAGGAGGCTGCTCTGCTCAGCCAGAGTTGGCACAGGAGGAAGACCAGCAGGAATTGTGTCCTGCTGCACTAATGCACCTGTTCAGAAGGCTAAACAGGACATGTGTGATGTGAACTTCACCCCAAAGAAATGTGAGAACTTGGCACTCCTGCCCACCTGTATGAGAGGTAACAGTGACTACGAACACATCACTTCTCTGCAGTACTGGTTTAGCACAGAGCACACAGATTTCTCACTAACTACATTATGGTGAAAGCTCTGAAATGCTGCATTGTTTCTCAGCTGCTGCCCAGAATTTTATGCAGAACCAGGTTTCCAGATGAAATTTCCTCAGGCAAAATACTGCGTGCTGATGGCAGCCTGGTTTGATTACAAAATCTGTAAAATCTGAAATGCTGATATTCACAGCAGCAGATATTGATGTACATGGTGCAGTAGAATCTAATTGAAGAAAGGGACGCTCTATCAAATACCTTCCCCAAAAGGAACATTCATGTATGAATAACACTATATCCAGACATTCAGCTCAGGTTATAAACAACCCAGATATCCAGAACCAAAGACTTTCAAAACAGACCTTTTAAAACAGGGCAAACACATACTAGAGAAGGCAATACCTGCTCATCTCCACTAGAAAACCAAAGCTGCATTACAGCTCCAGGCTCCAATCAATTTCAAGATCTATCACATGAAGTAGAATCTTCTACAGCATCCTTGAATTCCAAAGACTGGCCATTGGACTCAGAAACTCCCCCAGCACACAGTATAGGATCAAGTACTGACAAGTTACCAAAATAACAGAGAGTCTTTTTTGCTTTGAGCTGAAATTTCATTTTACAAGATTAAACCTTTTTTTTTCTGCAAACTCTCTGTACAGAGCATAGTGAGAATATACATTCCAGCCAGCACTATAGCCCAGCCTTAACACAGCTCAGCATAAAACACTGATAGCCTCACAAAACATGGTCTGAACCAGAAAGTCAGCTTCTGATCAGAGTGGTGGGGTAACATTTCAAGGAGTTGATAATCAGTTATTATACTTTCTATTATCATTTTATTTACTCTTAGCCTAACTATGCAAGCAGAATGGAACTTCTGCCTCATCTATTTATCTGGAAAGCAAATCAAGATTTACAGCAAGAAGTAAAAACCACTAAACAGCATCTAGTCAGCATCTTACCCTGTAATGAGACACTCTCCAACACACACTCATAGCTGGAAACAGCTGAGCCCACTGCAGCTCTTACCTGTACGGTCCAAGTGTCCTGCTGCCATAACACAAAGCTTGTTCCCAGGCTTCAAGGTTAATACAGGCATCCATGGCACAGTCCAGCAGTTTCAGCTGATAGATATTTGTATCTGGAAGACGACTCTCATGGCTGCTCAGGAGATGCTGGCATTTTGCCAAAACCTTCTCCCACTCTGTTATTGGCCATAGTCAAGGAAACATCCTTACAGCAAAACCCCAGGTCCTAAATCTTGTTAAAAAGTTGTGGGAGCTACAGGGTGTTAAGATAAAAAAGCTGCCATCATTTCAGACTGCTTCCATTCCTGAAAACACACTTGTGAGTGGCAGCTTAGGTAACTGTTTACACTTAGCAAAACAACTCGTAAGAATTTCAGCGATAAGAAATAAATGAAAAAAAGAAAACCAACAAAATTACAAGATACTTTAATAGATAATAAACTAAAATTCAGTTATTTTTGTTTTAGCTGTTGAAGAATCATTATTTATTTAAGTTATTCCCTTAAATCTTACACTCAACAGCAGGAATCCATGGAAATATGCCTTCACAAAATGGTTCAGGAACTAAAAAAAGAAAATTAATTTCCTATGTACTAAAATAATGACACATACTTCCAAGCTGCACAGGGTTTTTTTCAAAATTCTCATAAATTAGAACCTTTTTTGCAATTAATATTTTTTCTTCCTTGAAACAGTTGCAAGAAGCACCGCTTTTTTCCATGTATTGCTGCATGCTTCCTGCACTGGAAAAAAAAGCATCACAGTTCTGATGTCTGAGCACAGCTCGTGTTTAGGGATCTTGGCAGAGAAGATGATTTTTACCTCCAATGCTACGAGAAGATTTTTGTGTCTGGCAGAGAGGAAAAGTAAGCTGGGAACTGCATTCACATCAGTTGGATGTGCCTTATCAGAAATCACTTATTTTTATTATACTCTAAACTGGTTTAGCCTCTCAGTGGACCAGCTTCTTCACTCTTTGACCACAGCTAAACTGAACACTGATCTTCCAAGATTTTAAATGAATACTGTCATCTGGGACCTTATGGGAGTCCCAGAATGCAAGCAGTCTGAACACGAAAAACTGTTACCATGCATAAGTGTAACAAATTAAACAAACAAGCAAGAGTTACAGTAAGAGAAGTAACAGCACTGTTTGTATCAGAGTCCTTTCTACACAATCAACTCAAGGACATTCAGCAATTATCTTCATGACATTACTGCAAATGTTATTCATGCCAATCCAGCAATGGATGTAAGTGCACAATGATAACCCTATGACAAAGTAATTAGTCCTTCCTGAACATGGGAATATTTACATACTTAAATTTAAGAATGTGACCACAATATGTCTGGGCCAGATTTATAGCATGGTTGTTATGAGACTAAACTAATTATTTGTGAATTGCTCTCATGTCCTTGGATTGAAGGAACGATAAGGGAAGGAATGTGTTATTATAAAAGTCCACGTCAACCTTTATATCTCTGACCAACATTAATGTGTTCTCTACAACTGATAGGGACAGACAATCAGAAGAATTGAGGGATATTATTTCTACTTGATACAATTTTTTTTTAAAGGTGGGAAGCACTGATATTCCTGAAAGATTACCATTTTAGCTGTTGTGCAGCATTGCTCTGCTTTTATTTCTCATTATGTTGGTTTGTTCATTCACTTGCATCTAATAGGAGAAACGTTATACCACAAAAGCTGTAGGGAACAAATTTTCAGGTACATAAATTGCAAACTAGAAAATCCACTACCAACTGTACTGGGACAAAAGGGGAAGCTGGCTATCCTAGATCTAGTCCCAAGACTGGAGCAGCAGCTTTCAAGCAATTCTGCTGCTATTGAGCAGTACACAATAATCCCCTTGCACTTGGCTTTAATATCCCAAGTTTTGTGCTTAAACTGGATTTTCTGAGACAATTTTAAACACACATGTTGTTTCCTGTTCTCTTAACTGCAGATTAAGCATTGCAACACTCTATCAGTAGCTCAGATTTTGGAAATCACTACCTTTCTAAACTGTAGAAACTATTCACTTAATTTGCTTAAAAAAAACAAAACAAAAAAAAAAAAACACACACATTTGCAGAAAGGAATCACAATGTGGCTCAATCTGTTCATTCTTGGCAAGTGGACCAATGTAAAGCCCCTTCCTCATGCACTGTGCTCACTAATGCATGACAATTAGCAGTGGAACAGCACTGTGCTGCAGTGGAATAGGTGACATTTCAAATTTCCCATACCTGAGAACAAAAATTGAACAGACAATAGTGGCATAATTTTTCAACCAGGCCTTATAGCTTTTACTATGTTGATTCACTTGTAAATATTAGCAAAATGAGCAATATTAAAGATCCTAGCGAAATTCAGTAGGTGCAATTTCTGCTGCAACTAAATATAAGGACATTAAATTGCAAGGTATTTTGGTTCCTTATCAGTTGGTAACAAAATTATTTCAGTCTCATGTTGTATATTTATGATTTGAAGTCCAGGTTAAAACATGGGCCCTAAATTACATTTGAAGATCTTGTTCACTATTGCCCATCTCAAGTCAGTGACTACAGAGAAACTTAAACCAGTTTACAGACTGTATGAATGTAGCTTAGATGATCATTTCCCTTAGCAACAGTCCATTTGCTAGAAAACTGAGTATGTTTGGAATAGAGAGAAAATCTATTTATTTATACATGGTTAGAGAAAAGAAATTTCGTTCCTAGCTTGGAGTACCACTGCACGAAATTGCTCTTTAAGCTGATGAAACAGAGTACTCAAAGATGTCATTCTCTCTGGCTCCAGAGAGAGCCCAGGTTTCAGAAAACAGCAAGACACCTTACTACAATATAGAGGAATTCACAATCAGTGAAATTCCATTGAATAGATGAAGATGAGAAATAGATCAATATGGACAAATTCTTCCAGAAAAAAATCTCCACTTCTCTTTTACTTATCTTTTTTGGTCTTTGCTGTTCACTGGAGTTTTAATTGAATTGAATGTATACATGATGGCCATTAGGTTCCAGTCCTGTTATTACATTTAATTGCTTAATTATCACTTACTCTTATGTAAGTTATTACAATGATTCAATAATTTTTGCAGTTACCTTGACTATGATTATGGCTTTGTTACTGTCATTGCTATGCAAGGAATGAGAACCTGAATTGTTCACCATGGGCGTAATGGGACAAACAACATTTCGGTTTGAGTTTTATTCCATTTAGAAATGGATTAATATGAAGACTGTGATGGCAGAAGTCTAAATTAGAGCCAAATTATACCTTCTTCACCCCAGATACCTGCTACCCCTGCCATGAAGCAGTTCCATTCCAAGAAATCAGAGACGCTATTATCACTAGCACAACTGGGAATATTACATGGTTTATGTGTACTCATATCAAGTGAATTAAAATTCTTTTTAAAACAACATAAAAGAAAAACTTTTAGGGGAGAAATCTCAAAAGATTAACTGCTTTACTTCATGATTGTGTTCACAACAGAATGACAGACTGTTGCATGTCATTGAAAGGATACCTTCTTTTGATTTTGGATATTTCACCTCGTTTACAGCATCTTTGACTTCCTTCCAGGCAGGCTCTTCACCTGCCAATTTCTTAGCATCCTGGTTAAAGAGAAGTAAGGATTTGATTAGAAAAGCAGTAAATGAGAGGATACAATAGTGATGAAAAGTAATCTAAAAAAAACCCGAAAACACACACTGACAAAAGCAAATCTGAAGAATTTGATCACTTTTTTTTCTGAAAGAACACAAAAATTGATTTTACTTTATGTTCACTTAGCCAGTGTTTGTAAGCAAAGGAGAAGATGTGAAGGAAAGTGAATGCAGACATGGAAACATCAAATACTCAAACCAGATGCTAGATTTACAATAAGAGCTATGATCACTCAGGAAACAGAACCAGTGGCATGTGACTTTTTCCTACAAAACACATTGAGAAGATCAATTTCTCTCAAAAACCCGATACCTAATACTTCACAGACTCTTAACCACACTGTAGAAGGTATTCAGCAAATAATTTTGTTTAACCACATGCTGATTATTGAGACTTCACAAGCAGAGGAAGGCTACGATTGCAAGCATGAGCTTACAGGAAATGTCTACAACTCAGAAAAAGCTGAACTTTGGTTTTGTTTTATAATTCATTGTTATTTCTTTCTTATTCCACCCGATTATATAAACAGTTACATTTTCCTATCACTTTGTTATAAAGAAGGCAAAAATGATTAATGGTTACAGCAGAAAGGGAAACAATTTCTCTTCCAGCTCTCTAGCAGGGACTAACTGCACCTCAGGCAAACCACTCGGAACAAATTTATTAAAGCATCCTACAGACACAGCTAAGCATCTTGAGGGATTTCCAAAAGCATCCAGCTATTCAATTTCCATTGCTATAAGCACTTAAATACCTTTAAAAATCTGGCCTTTAAGACATTGCAGTTCATTATCTCTCTCTCCTTACAAAAGGCTCTGCTACTCTCAAAAGACTTTTTTAAGTGTAAATTCGGGACTATTTTAAATACAGTTCTGAAAGATCAGCCTTCAGCAGGGATGGAAGCCTGGAGATTAATAGAGAACATGCATTAGAATCTAACCAAGCGCTCTGTAACCAACAGATGCTCGCTGTTTATGAGAGGACTGCCTCTATTTATTAAAAAGCTTGCAATTTGTATCTGTCTAGAAAAACATAATTTTCATACTCCACTGCTCCTTATTTACCTTGAATTCAAAGCAGAAAATATTTATAGTAAGAATCAGCACTCATTTTCCCATTCAAGTTTTGCAGTTTTGTTCTTCCATGTACTCCATAAGACCCCAGACCTCTGTGTATTCCTGGGAAGATTAAATTGGACTGCTATCAGCTGCCCCACATATCTGTAGGACACAAATTACAAGCAGGGAAGCCTTACCTCAGTGCATTTGGCATGTGTACTTCCCACGCAATTAATTCTCTGATCAAAAAGCTCATCTGGAAATAATTCTGCACATAGCTGAATTTGCCACCAGAAGAACATAAGGTGAACGTCAGGAGAAGCAATCATATGTTGTAGAAATGTCAGTACAGTTAATGGACATAACGAGCTCTGTTCCTGCTTTGCAAGAAACCTACACTGATCTGTTAGCTTTAGCATAACCTCTCCCAGTTTTTGAGGGAATATGTCTCCATTTCTGAGCTCAGCCTGCTAATAGGTAGCAATGTAATTCTAAAACACCTCTGTAGATAAGTCCTGTTCACTGTTGGATTTAAAAGATAAACCTAGATATTAATAATGATGCCTGTGAAATACATGGTTTAAGGAGCTATGTGGAAAACAAAAATTCACTGAAGTCCAAATACAATTCTCAGTGTTTCTGTAGCATGTAGTAAGCCTTGCAACTAAAAACTCAGAAACAAGGGAAATGAAATGGATTTGTAAATCAAAGAAAGAAACCTATGCAACAAGTCACAGGCAAATGACTGATGCGAAGTACCATCAGGATTTGATTTGCTCACTGTGGGATTGATGGATGAATCAAATTAAAACATTCATTGACGACTTTTTCATTTGCTTTGATTTTTCTTCTAGAATTTCATTAACAACACAAAGCAGTCCAAGGTTGGAGTTTCCTCTAACCTTTACACTAGAGCATAGGGAAAAGTAATCACAGGCTTTAAAAATATCAGGTAGAGAATAAGGAGTGACGGTTGGTCAAATAATCTCAAAACCCTCTCTGGATTTATGGTCTTTATCCCTTTTGTAAGACACTTCAGGATGGAAGGAGCTGGGCACCCAGCCCAGCCCTGGGAAGGATTTAAGTCACAAGTTTCAAAGAGATATTTTTTTTGGTTTCAAGAAGAGGTATTTTGGGGACTGGCTTACGTAAGAAAAAGCAAAGACACGGTCTTGCCTATTCTTCGTCAGATATTCATACACCAAAGAAGACTTGCCCCCTCCTGAACACTCTTGTTCAAGGCACAGTGGTTGCTTCCAAACAGGCAGCCAAGTAAGAGCTGCAAGGCCACCAAAAATGACTGTCACCGAAAACATTTCTGCCCTCCACACTAAATGATAGTGGTTTCTTCTGGACACAAAATCTGTGACTAAATAATTATAATCCAGTGAGGCAGCAGCAAGTCTCTTTTCATGATAGCTTTTAAAATATCTTTATAAGGAAACTTTATGAAACTTAATATTTTAAGTTTACAAGCTATGGACACCTCAAATATCTGAGCATTTCACAATAAAGAGCAGGCAACAATTTTATGATTTGCTTAATTTCTAAAAAATTTAAGTGTCAACTACAGATGTGAATCTGAAAGAACAATTCTGACAACTTAAAAACTGACAAGGTTTTCTCAGGTTTTGTTTGAAGAAGGTTTCTGAAGAGCTCAGACATTTAAATAATGGCATGACATTTTAAAGTAGATTCCTAGTACATTATACTCTGAAAGCACAAATAACAACTTTCTAATTCTATTTAATAGTGCAGCAACCACTGATAGCATGTTTGTAGTAAAAACATTAACTCACAGTTTTAGATCTGGTGTCAAGAGGAAAGCATTACATGATTAATATGGACTGCATTTTACAGAATCCTAAATTTTCACCCACTTTCAAGTCTTGAAAATGACTTTGTTAAGAGCTATGCAAATGTGGAAGGTTTAGTGCACAGTGCTGGCCCCAATGAACTGCCATGACCAAGATTTAACTGTGACATAAGTCTAAAAAGCTCCCCTGTCCTGCCCCAAGAAAAAAAATGCCAGATGCACAAATGCCAGTTCAACTATCCTGCTCAACTGGTACAAGGTTGTCCTCACCAAAAGCAGAGCTGGCAAAAGATAAGTCCTCATATTTTTTGCCATACAGCTCTGAATAGGGTGGCTGTGATATGTAGTAATTCCAAGGTTACTCCACAGAAAAAAAAGTGCTCCGTTCCCAGTAAGACTGTCATGAAGAGGTGAGCCCTAATTCAGAACAAAATGGATTTGTACATTTTATTTTAGAATTCTGAAAGTAAAACAATACACATTGTGGCTGCATGCCATATTGCAACTGTGAAGTACATTGTTCAATATTAGGCAGGCTGCATTACCTCACATCATTGATAATGGCTTCATATGGCACTTATCTGCACGCATTACAGATTCCGGTGTCTGGAATGGCAGAAGAACTGATGCTAGTAATATTCTAAATTGTACTGGAATATTAAACAGTCCTTCACGCTATTCATGTTTAAGGACTCCACTTAGGCAAATAGATCAAGATGAAAGTTTCTCCACACCCTTCATACAATCAGTGGAAAGAAAACAAGTACATTCAGATAGTTGCATAAATATCCTTCCCCTAACATTGTTTAACCTAGCTACACACTATATTTCCCCAGCAACTTAAAATGAAGCATCAAAATCTACAGTAGGAAATTTATTACAATGACATGCTTTTAAGAAAGAGAAAATTAAGATCAACATCCATCTCAAGAAGTTTAATCTAACAAAATGAAATGGGACTAAGATAAATTTATCCCAGCAACACCTTGGAGTTAATCAAGTTTTAAAGTGCAAATTTAGAAAGAAACAAATAGAGAAACAGCTTGCAGCCTCTTCCAATTTCAAATCCAGTATGTCAGACTCACAATTCTGCACACACACAAAAAATAGCATTTCTTTAAGAATCATACTCCACTCTTACTCATTGCAACCCATTTCTACTCATTTCTGTGATTTTTTTAGACAAACTTTTTAAAATTGCAGTTTCAAAGACCATTGTATCTATATATTTTGTGTTACAGAGGAAGTAAAACAACATCTCTCCTCCTACTGAATACCCTGTTTGTAAATCCAATCTTAGCCTTCTTGGACAGAGCAGAATACAACATTTTTCACTTCTGTTCAGATACCCATGCTGAGATTCATCTGACCAAATGTAGATATTTGGTCTACTTTTCTATTCAACAGAGAAAGAGGCACTCTCAGGGTGCAACTTGTGTTGTTCCAAAGCAAAGTGCTAAAATACATAAGGTCACTTTGAAAGTAAGGTCTCCTATTTATTTTCAAGGAAACAAAAACTGATACAAAGAGCACAATAATACTATTTGGTAGAGCAAATTCTCAGCTGCAAAACACTATTTCTCAACATGGTCACCACCATTAACTAGCCTGCATGCTGTGCCAATAAAAAGCGGCACCAGCAGAGGTGATCGATCCACTTGCTGTTCACCACTACTGAAATGCACTGCCCACCTCCTCACTGTGCCCACATCCACCACTTGGGCTCTATAAACATTCAGTAAGAGTAGATGAATGGCAGTGGGTGCCATTTCTTTCCACATGGAGGAATTCAGTGGTACCCTTTTGCTTCATATGTTCTTCCATGTCAGACATTATTCCGTCAAACTGCCCCTCTGCTGCCATCTGTCACATGGCAACAACATGTAAATGAATACTGGCAGGAAGGTTCAACCTCTGTTGTCATACCACCAGTGTCTGCCTCTGACATCATGTGCCAACATAATAAAATAGGAGGCACTACTTTCTGAGCAGTCATCACACATCAGATGAATAGCAGTCAAAGAGAGTCCTTTCTTCTCCATTTTACCCATAGCAGAAGGCAAGAGTAACTAGC